ACACACACACACACACACAAATTCACAAACATACACACACATATACACATACACACATACACACACACACAGTCACACACACACTCACGCGCACACACACACTCACGCGCACACACACACACACACACAAACACAAACACGCGCACACACAGTCATACAAACACGCACACAAACACACACACACACAGTTACACACACACACACACACACATAAAACTATAAAACTCCGTAAAACTACATAAACAATACAAAAACAAAGAGAGTAACAGAGAGAGGTATGCACCTTCCAACCGCCCTCAGTTTCTGTAGTGGACACTGGCTATAACAGCTAGACAAACATTGCTGAAGGAGCGCCCCACCCTTTTATGGACAACACACGCAGTCCTTATCACAGGGTGTCAAGCTCCCTTAAGCCGGTGGCGATAAACATTGTCAAAATCTCTGTTGATTACGCAAGTTAGAAGTGCAACAGATCTGGTGCAACCAATCACAGCAACTTTTGAGCTACACAGCAAACAACAACAGGGCGCTCTCGTGGTCTAGAGTCTAGAGGTTAAGGTGTTCGCCTCTCATTCAAAGGTTCCGGGTTCAAATCCGAGTAGAGACGGAAAAAAAATTCTTCTCTAAACTTGTCTCCTTTCACCTCCTTTCCTGCTCTCTAGAAATGTTCTGTTGTCTACTTTCGTCTCCATTTTCTGCCCCCACCCACTCATCTCTTTTGCCCCCCTCCCCCTTTCTCTGGGCTCCTGACTCTTTTTGCAGCCTTTCTACTGTTACCAACTACCCTTTGACCCCTTCTTACTGCTGTCTTTCAACTACTCCCCTGATCTTCTGGTAGGAAAGATCTACACCTAGCCTTCTCGAACAAGGGCAAAAATTCTCGGAGGTCCCGTGTGAAAGTTGCGCACATAAACGATCCCTTGGTGGTCTAAAATCGATAAGAGTAGTCTTCGGCCGCCACCGAGGCAAAATTCAAAATTTCCTACCAACTGAAAATATTTGATATGTCCGGCGTGCTCATATGACCTTATGTAGTTGCGAGCGCCGTAAAACACGTACTAAAAACAATAAACAAACCAACAACAACAAACCAACAACAACAAACGCTGGAGAAAATAGAGACGTCCATAAACTGAACCAGGCATGAGCGCGCGTGCACAAGTTGTGGGCCGGGTGGGGCGGTTCTGAATAGTTCGCTGATTTCAGATAGGCAAATGATACTAAATAAAAAGTACCTCTAGTAAGACAGCTATAATATGCAAGTAGTTAATTTCAATGTAGATGTTTGTAACCCTCATCAACAGAATTTAGATCATTAATTTTCTAAGGCGGGCTTCCGACCCTGCCTGACAGGGCCAGCCCGGGCTGAGACTGAGAGAGACACAACATCTCAGCAGAAAGACCGAGATACCCCATAAAGATTCTCCTCACTCGGGGATCGAACTTGGGTCTCCTGCGTTCAACAACGAAGCTGCTAACCACTCCATCACAGACTTCGGTTCACAATCTTACGTACTAAGTAATTCTCAAGGACCTTATAACCTCTTTGGTAACACTACTTCGATCTCTAAGCTCGGGGAATGCTGGGAACAGCGTCATTTTGACGCTAAACAAAGAAGTTTGTAATTGTAATTATTGTTAATATTTAGCAGTACTTATTTCGAATTTGATAAGATAACTTAAGGAGGCGGGCTGCTTTTTTGTCCTGTGTTTCTCTTTTGTATCGGATATTTACAAGTTACATAGAAAGACCGTCGACAGGGTTGTAAATGTTATGTTTATAGAGAAAATAAAATTAAAACAACAACAACAACAACAACAACAACAACAACAACAACAACAACAACAAGACACCAACAAAGAAAATAGAAATAATCATACACATCCCGCCCC